ATCTTCCTATAGATTTAGCCAAATAAGTCATATAGGTTAAGACTTGTATCTAAATGGTATGACATCTTCAAGTGTCTGGACTGCTGGTCCGATCCTCACAATCTTTTATAATATTGTGCACTATATTGTATCAAATATATCGTCGACGATAATTTTGTGTCAGTTCCGAAGCGACATAACTTGTGGAGATCTCATCGCTTTCTTTATTTTCAGATACCTGAACCTTTTGGGAGTTTCATGAAATGTTATGTCGTGGGCTCTTCTAGAGCTTATTTCCTCCTCATTATGATCATTTTGATCATTAGCTCCTACTATTTTTCAAGGATTGTTACCTTTGGAACCGATTGGTCTACCACGCTTCATGCGTACAGTAAACTCTATCCTTCAGGGACTTTAATTTTAATAGGAGCATTTGTAGCTGAAATATGATATTTAATTTTGGATCAGCAAATGCTTCTGACATTCAACTTGAATTATCTTCTAAGTGAGGATCATATTAATGATAATTCAATTCATATAGCATATTTTTCAACTGTTTATTCCATCCCCCAAATGTTAGAAAAATTAACATATATCCCCAATTATCTTTGGGAAACATATCTTTGTGTATTATGGTAGAGGAATTAATCATATACCATACAATAAAAGATAGTTAAAATATTTGGTTTCCGATCCTAAACCAATTGTGAAGGGAGGACTTATCATATATTGTTGATCTGATGCATACAAGTGCTGCTATATGCAATTTAGAAAATCTTAGACCAATACATGAAGCTTTGTTCTCATAAGCAATGGTTTAGTCATTAATAGGAGGTATTCAATGCTAAACCAGCTTGAATATAAACCAGTATTATCAAGATGATCTGTCTTGATTTCATAATCTGAAAATTATGCTCTTAATCGAGAAAAGCAATTCCAAATGCCAAACTGCAGGTTGACAATAATTACACATGTAACCATCTCATATATGCACCTATAAGTGGTTCACATGATAGGTGAACGGGCTCATATTCACCTTTTATATATTTCAGAATCAGGGATATTAGTCCCAACTTTAGCTGGTATAATCAATTCATTATGAGAGTAAACAACACATGAGAATTCCTGAAGAATCTTCTAGTTCTTTAGTATATGCTTATCTGAATTCTCAAATAGCTCATTTAAAAATGGCAAATGAAAACTTCAAGTTTATCATGTCATGTGCTATCTCTTAGTAAACTTCTGGTTTACTATGGCATACACTTTTGCTTTAGTAAACTTTTGGTTTACTGTGATACATGATATAGTACAAATTAAAGAATAAGGCAGGTAACTTCTCACATACATATTAATTTTCCCCCTATGATTGTGGAAACATGAAGATTATCAATCTTCCAATCATTTGTAGTCTCAATATGATAGCCATTTGTATTAGTAAACTTCAGGTTTACTACAACATATGTTTTGACCATAATCATATAATATGAATGACATATTTGTATATAAGCTCTTCGAGAGCCTTCATTTATTATCCACAATCTAATATTTATCGGGCACTACTGGTGTCATGTATCCTTTAGGCAAACAGTTAGCTCTTCAGGAGTTGTTGATACATTTTGTACTATCAAATATTTCTCATACACTTCTGGTATCATGAGAGAAAATCACAATCAAATAAATAATGTAAAACAATTGTTTAAGCACAAGAAAACTCTTCTTCATAATATTTTCCTACTTCAGGAGGCAATTTCAATTGTGTTACTTCTTCAGGAGCAAATTTAAAATACGAAATATTGAGTATATATTCTCTCAATTATATTACCTCTTCTGAAGGTGAACTGTGATATATTCACATCAAGAGTGCGTTCATATTTACCCGATTTATTAATATTATTACATTCACTTCAGGGAATGGATTAATATTATCCAAAGTTCTCATCCTTCAGGAAATCGAACATAATTATCTGATTGCGCATTAATCACATCAAATCGTGATGCCTCAATCTCTTTTAAAATATTTACTACTTCAGGAGCAAATCGAGACGTGCATTTAATATAAAGAATATTTATGTAGCTTATCTTCAATTGTAACCATAGAAAGCCTAAATTATCACTTCTGGTGATCATAGACATATACCACTTCTGGTGGTTAACAAAATATAATTACAATGAGATATATGAAATATAACTACTTCTGGTGGTTGTATATTTCTTGCAAACTCTGCTAGAGTTTAAGTTGATCTAATAATATTATCCATATTCTTCAAAATGACATAAATAAGATATATTATAGTAAACATCATTATCAAATCATAATTTTTCTTTATGTACAACAATTACATAACCATATTATCTATTACAAATAACAAAAATTAAAATATTTACATTTCTACAGATTCACCACCGATTACATGACTTGTTTCTCCTTCTGGGAGTGCAAGGTAATCAGTTACATCCAAATGCATGAAGTCTAAATTATCTTCAGAAATAAAATTTGCTTCAACATTTTTCTCTGCCTTCTTTAGGGAGGCTTGATAAAGCTCAACCAAGTGCTTTGGCGTACGACAGGTACGTGACCAGTGCCCTTTTTCTTCACATCTATAACATGCATTTTATGCATTTGGTGCTTGCACCGCTTCATGCTTTTGTTCCTTCATTTTCCACTGTTGGTGATGAGGAGTGTTCTTTGGTGCATTATTATTACCATGATTAGAGTTTCTTTCCCGACCACGACCATGACCACGACTGGGGCCACGACCTTTTCCACGATTAACTTGGTGGAAGTTCGTCTCATTCACTTCAGGTAATGGACAAGAACCAGTAGACCGACTTTCATGATTTTACATTAATAGCCCATTATATTGCTCGGCTATAAGAAGATGTGAGATAAGTTCAGAATATTTTTTAAATCCCATCTCTCAATATTGCTGCTGTAGGAGCATATTCGAGGCATGAAAAGTGGTGAAAGTTTTCTCCAACATATCATGATCAGTAATATTATCACCACATAATTTTAATTGGGAAATAATTCTGAACATAGCAGAATTATACTCACTGATAGATTTAAAATCTTGTAGCCTTAGATGAGTCCAATCATATCGTGCCTGTGGAAGAACGACCATCTTCAGGTGGTCATATCTATCTTTCAAATTATTCCACAGTATGGCTGAATCTTTAATAGTGAGATATTCTATTTTCAGGCCCTCATCAAGATGATGGCGTAGGAATATCATTGCTTTGGCACGGTCTTGGTTTGATGCCTGATTTTTATCCTTGATGGTGTCTGCCAAACCCATCGCATCAAGATGAATTTCAGCATCAAGCACCCAAGACATGTAGCTTTTGCCCGATATATCCAGGGCTACAAATTCATGTTTAGAAAGATTTGACATTATTTAGGAAAAGAAAGTTCTTACCTCTAATACTTTCAAAGTATTTGCTCGAGATGTCAGAGTTTCGTGCTGATAACGTGTTATAAAATAAAGACTGTAAAGTAAAGACAAGTATAGAGAGAAACTGATATATTATTCGAATTCAAACTGATATACATAATGAACTGAAATATCTTCTATTTATAGAAGAAAGGAAGCTGTTGTGTAAGCTGCTACTGCAAGTTGCTGTGTAAGCTGCCACTATACCAGATATGAATAATCTTCTACTGAGAGCAATGTTTATCCATAACGGAGTACTGAATGAATAAGCTTATTATACCCGGTATGGATAATCATTGCTCTCGGTAGAAGATTATCCATATCTGGTATAGTAGCAGCTTGCAGTAGCAGCTTACACAGCAACTTGCAGTAGCAGCTTACACAGCAGCTTGCGTAGCAGCTTGTAATAGCAGCTTACACAACAGCTTGTAGTAGCAGCTTACACAACAGCTCCCTTTCTTCTATAAATAGAAGAGATTTCAGTTCATTATGTACATCAGTTTGAATTCGAATAATATATCAGTTTCTCTCTATACTTGTCTTTACTTTACGGTCTTTATTTTATAACAGTCAACTTATTGTTTCGTTTGTTTTGTATAACTTTATCTCTTTTTACCTGAACATAATTGGTGTTTGCTCAAGCTTCTAGTGCAAATGCAACTATAGACGATTGGAGGATGAATTTGTTATTTATATATCCATGATGTAAATAATATCTATCCAATCAGATCACATATATGATAATTACATATAGATTAATGTGATTAGAAATTGGTAACTTGATAAAAATATTAATTAGCCTATTGTCACATGTTACAACTACATCGAAAATGTAAAATAATTATATACTGTCAATTTTTATATAATTTAAATCATTCTAAATATCAAGCTGGTTGACTACTGATTTTTGCCCCGGATCAAATTCATGAATCCTAGCCTTGTGCCACATAGGATGGTTTCCTATTCTCATGTTGCTACCAACTGTTCGTTCATAAGCATCGCGACATCAATCTACTGATAACTACTGATGGTATTTAGTGTCATTTGGAAGTGAACTACATGTAAAAAAAATTGGGGGAAAATGTTTATGACTTTTTATTATTTAGTGTACATTTTCAAGTTCATTTATTTTTGAATGTGTAACGACCCGACCGGTGGTTGTGAGCTTTAGCACGTCGTTCGACGGTTTGAGGCTATCAACAACTTCACTTCAGGTATTATGACTTGTACGCATGGTCAGTATTGAATTTCGGGAAATTCAGAGTTGATTTGGAAAAAAAATTCTCATTTCGAAAGCTTTAAGTTGGAAGAATTGACTAAAATTGGATATTTGAGTAAACGACCTCGGAATCGGGATTTTGAAGATTCCAGCAGGTTTGTATGATGATTTCGGACTAGGGCATATGTGTCACGCCTCGAACCTTGGGAGGCATAGCAGGCACCCGGTGTCGTGCTGGCCCGAGCGAACCACTCTGTAACTCATGATCGTTCGACCACACTACAACATACATAGGCCGAGTTGGCTGAACTCATTCCTTTTATAACTATCATGGGCCCACATGGCCACAACTCATAATGTACAACTATTAGTGAAAAACACTGTATCACTAAACCATTTTTCTTAAAACATGAATACATATGGGCCGTCAAGGCCTCTGACATACTGTACAAAATGAACCTCTATCTACAAAGCCTCTAAGACTATTTGACATCTAATGAGATAGGGTACCTGCCTACCCATAAGTCTGTAGCAAAACTCTGACGCGATGACTCATAGACTCGGCTGCACATCGAATGAGGTGGAGTCTTACCGATCCTCGCTAAATGCCAATCTCATCTGCTATGAGTGATCGTCAAACTGATTATTTATACCTGCAGACATGAATGTAGTGTATCCAATAAAAGGACGTCAGTACGAATAATGTACTGACTATGGAAGACACATAAATAAGTACATAAATGACATGGAAGAAATATAGAGTAAATGACTCAACCTGTAAGTCTGGATCACTCTGTAAATCATGGAATACTTGTAGTGTCATGCATATGCGTATGAATGTCATATCGAGCATATGTACATGTGTTCATGACATCATCAAGCCTCTGAGGGCATCCCATCATATCATCTCGGCCATTGTGGGCAAAATCATCAGCGTATGCCAGCTGATCAGGTGATGGTGCGTATATAACACCATAACCTTTCCTATATATATATATATATATATATATACGCGTATATAACGCCATCTGGTCATGGGTCAATGTGCATGTATAAATATATGAAAATGCATATGAAATACGTTAATAAAATCTCTCGGTACGTCATAAGGCCATTATGCCTCTGATTAATATCATGAAATAAACTTTACCAACTTACGTATTTTTGAGACCCATGAATAGATGATGAGAGAATAATATGACGCATGAGAGAATAAGTGTCACTATTTTATAAACATTAACATTTTTATCAAATATGTCAACAGGGAACTAGATACATACTTAGATATGCTTTTAAAGAAATTACATTAAATTAGTGAATATAACTCATATTTACTACCTTCATTCCTACCGTATAGGCATAGTAGTTGCATAGAGAGTATTTTACCTTCATTATTAACACTAAGTTTACAAAGTAGACATAGATTTACCAAAAAGAATCTAAAAGAAATACTGTGTCCCCTTATTACAAGATGTGACTTAGAACTAAATCCAATTATTAAATAATATGTCATATACGATTCACAGAATGCTATAGAGAATCAATTATCATATTATAAGATACAGAAAATCAGCTGTCAGGGATTCACTTCCAAGCATCAAGGCATTTTCACTTCTTAGAACTTACAATGGTTCGAAGTCATTTGCCATACCTAGAAACAGGTAAAACGAATTTTGTCGTTTGTTTAATAAGCTAAAAATTGTTGGTGATGCCGTTGGAACTGTATCAACCATTTGATAACTACGGAACAATGAAAGCCGATGGGGAAACAATTTAATCATGTAATCTATTTTAAAATAAATACTTCCTTTATTTAATATAGAATTGTTTCAACTACAATATCTTTTAGTCCTCTCCCAAAAATTCAAAATAGTTTTCCTAACAATTGCTCTGTCAATCAATTATTATATTTACGTTAATAAATACATAGACATTCTTAATTGATAAGAGTAAAACTACTTATGGAATATCATTACGTTTACATATCGTTGCTTGGATCATGCCGAAAAAAGAAGGGGTAGCCTTAACATACCTGTATGATCTCTTCCTTATTACTCAACAAAGTTCAACACAACTTGTTTCATTGTATACAGGACAAGCATGAGAAGAAAGATCATCACATCACCTACCGTTGACCTTCCAAGCAGTAGCGAGAATAATTACGAAGAGCCTAAAGTTGCAACACAGATCTAGGGATGGAACATGGCTGCCCACAGAACTAGAGAGCATCAGTATTACTCATACATTCATTCTCCTGGGAAAAGATAACAGAACCTTTTAGCTTCTTTAAGTTCTTGATACACTGAGTACAAAAAGACCTGTCAGATATCATTAGTGAAGCCTCATCACCATATTCATTAATCAGATGATAACTCGACCTCAGTTCCTTGCAGATATTAATTGGGCATGTTGCAAGTTTCATGGAATCTTTTGGACCAAATAAAAGCAAAGGTCTTTGCACTTGAGTCAGGTCGAATTTAGCCATGGCAAGATGATTAGATTCAGCAAGTCATTTTAGCTTTAGACTTTCCGCTCGCTTTAAAGATCTTCTCAACAGAACATATAACAGTTGTTGAGTGGATAATGACGTTCATATCCTGGTTACATGTGAATAGGATGATCCGATAAGCCCCCTCATATTTGAAACTCCAAATTCAGACAACAGCTTGAAAATTACTACTTACGTGTAAGCAAATTGCTGCTAACGTGTAAGCAAGAGAACCCACTGCCTCAATTCTCCAAGCAGGTGGGTAAGCTGCTTGCTTGGCAGCTTGAGCAGTGTCACTTTAGACACTTGTATCTCTCTACTCCGATATCGTATTGATAAATAGTTTGTAGCGTTGGAAACTATACACACAGGGCTTCTATTCCATATAAATATATCCATGTAACTCCCAATATATTGGGAGAAAATTGTGTCGCAACTTGTCCTATAAACCTGCCAGTTTCTCCGAAGTGCTGCAACGTGACTTGGCGCCCCTATTTCAAAATCCATATTTCTCTGCTCCGATGTTGTATGCGTAAATGGTTTGGACCGTTGGAAACTAGGTTCCAAGACGTTCATTTTAATATATAATATGTCCCAAAAAGATCTCATATAGCACATAAGATATATTGCACAAAATGCTTCATCGCAAGGCAAATCCTAAGTCCGGTTTTTCTTTTTTCGCAACTTAAATTTGATTTTTCCCAAACTTTATATTTCATATCCATACATCATATATAGTCATATCATGACTTTAAACGCATTTAAATCATGATTAAAACGTCTCATTCATCCTAACTTACCTAATACTTCGATAAACCTTCCTTAGCATTGTAAAAGGATTTTATCCTTTTTGAGCTTACATCACTCTACTTATGGCGTACTTTCACGTACAGAAACATGGGGTGTAACATCCTTCCCCCCTTTGGAATATTCGTACTCAAATGCTGACTAATGCGCTTATCATTATCATAACTTATAGCTCTTATGAATACTTTACTACTCCTCTTTCCATCTAGGCAACTGTTCTGTGAATAATTCCAAAGGCCAGGGCATTCCCCTCTTTAGGCCTCTTTCTCGTACCACGACTTGTGGTCGGAATCCTTCCAATCTCGTAACTCTCTCTGACCTTGCAAATGCGCCAATGCGACTCTTCTCTCCTTTGTAAACTAAATTAAAAACCAACCTCTATCAGATGTCTGGACTATTCACAACCATTTGTACTTGAGTATCTCGTATCTCCTTCACCTTCACCTTACTTACCTTTCAATCTTGCATCTTATCTTCTGTTTCTTTTGATAACCTCCTTCCACATAAGTAGAAATTACATCTACGCCTTAAAGTTCTACGGTGATATCTGCACCCCTGGTGCATTCAAAATCTCGCGAAAACTTCATACTGACTTCTTACGACTAAGCTCTATGGCACGATCTAGAAACAAAAGAACGGTAACATTTTCTAAATGCCCTGTAGTCTCTCAATTATAAAAATGGCGCACCATACACCCATAATTGAGACTCTACTAGGCACGAATTTGTAGACTTCCAAGGACATGACCCGCTCTTATACCACTTTGTCACGCCCCGAACCTTGGGAGGTGTGGCTGGCACCCGGTGCCGTACTGGCCCGAGCGAACCACTTTGTAACTCATGATCGTTCGACCAAAACTACAACATACATAGGTCGAGTTGTCTGAACTCATTCCTTTAGTAACTATCATGGGCCCACATGTCCACAACTTATAATGTACAACTGTAAGCGGAAAACACTGTATCACTGAACCATTTTTCTTAAAATATGAATACATATGGGCCATCAAGGCCTCTGACATACTGTACCAAATGAACCTCTATCTACAAAGCCTCTAAGCTTATTTGACATCAAATGGGACAGGGTACCGGCCTACCCATAAGTCTGTAGCAAAACTCTGACACGATGACTCATAGACTCGGCTGCACTCCGAATGAGGTGGAGTCTTACCGATCCTTTGCTAAATGCCAATCTTGTCTACCATGAGTGATCGTCAAACTAATTATCTATGCCTGCAGGCATGAATGCAGGTCCACAATAAAAGGAAATCAGTACGAATAATGTACTGAGTATGTAAGGTACATAAATAAGTACATAAAAGACATGGAAGAAATATAGAGTAAATGACTCAACCTGTAAGTCTGGATAACTCTGTAAATAATGGAATACTTATAGTGTCATGCTATATGCATATGAACATTATGTTGTGCATAGGTACATGTGTTCATAACATCATCAAGCCTCTGAGGGCATCACATCATATCATCTCGGCCACTGTGGGCAAAGTCATCAAAGTCATCAGGTGGTGGTGCGTATATAACGCCGTAACCTTTTCCCATATCCCATATACATATATATAT